TATATTATAATATAATATAATCGTTATTTTTAAATTATTATTTTAATAATATTATTATATTCTATATCATAATTATATAATAATAGTTTTTTTGTATTATATTAAATATAATAATAAATATATATTATATTATAATTATACATATTATATTATAGTATAATATAATATAGTCATAATTTTTAACTATCTACAGCCATTTAATCTCATAATTTACCAAACGCTATTACACTGATTTTGAAACCAGCACTGCTACTATAATTATAGTTTACTAAACACTCAAGTGCTTTTTGTTGCAGCTGTTTTTTCTTTCAGCACAGCTAAAAGTAATTTTTCCAAAATCTATAGCAATACCAAACTAAGCCTATAGCACAAAAGTTGAATTGTGATTCTAACTGTGAAAAGAATGGGCCAAAGGCTAATAGAATCCTAACCTGAGACATAACGCAGTCCAGTACTCCCAACTTCAGTATCAGACAATTCCAAACTGCTCAGAAGTTTTAGACCTGAAGAAAGAAGCCACAGAAAAAGGTTATAACCTGAAATTTACAGGAAAAGGTACTTAGACAAACTACTAGAACAAAATATTCATTGCATGTCCAGGTAGCTTGACGAAAAGATTTCAATATCCTGTGAAACAGACAATACTATAATTCACAAGCAAAGCAATAAACAACATATTCTCATAATCAAATAGGAGGTTTCACATTTTTTTGAAAACAATTAAAAAATAACACCATCATATAGAATGTAATAAACTAAAAAGGTAAGAACCCTGTAGCAAACCTGTCAAATTAGCAAGTCCTTCATCAGTTATCTTGCAGGAATCCAGGTTCAAACTCTCCAATTTTGTTAAACCTGCAAGATGAAGTACAGATACAGAATATAGCTACAATGGATACATCAATCAGGGCGCAGAGAAAAAATGAAAAATAAAGTTATACAACAGTTTGCGCATGAGTTAGATATCCTTTAGGGGGCGTTTGGTACGGAGTAATCTTTAAGTGGGAATGGAAATCTTCACATATTTCTATGTTTGGTACAAGAATTGTGATTTTTATATTTCCAGGAATATCAATCCCATGGGATTCATTTTATGGGGTAATCTGAATAACACCCAATATGGTGTTATTCAGATTCCCAGGAATATCAATATGGTGTTTTACCCGTCTGCAACACTCCCCCCCCCCCCCGAGAGAGGATGGAGAAGAAGGTTTTTTTTTGAAGAAGAACTTACAAATTTATTTCTTAAACTAAGAAGAATTTTTGTGTTTCTTAAGAATAATCAAATTTTTAGTACTTAAAATATTTTAAATTAGTTATTATTAAGAAGAAATATATTACATTACTTTGTATCAACCAAACACAATAAAATAATTTTCCTGGGAATATGAGAAAAGATTCACATGCATAACCAAACGTGGTAATACACATTTCCCAGGAATCATATTCCCTTCTATCACTTTTCCAGTAATATGATTCCTGCCCATTACCGCATACCAAACGCCCCCTTAGGGAAATTTTTAATTTTCTAAAAGCTAATGTGGATAAGAATGAACTGTAAAATGTTATATCCAGCACAAAATCTCATCACATACATTCTCACTACTTCAAACATATCATAAAAAGACTTCAGTGCTATGAATGACAATAATATGCTGAGTTACATAAAAGTAGAGAAGAAAGCCTTGCACAGAATTTATTCATATGGAGGAAATAGCATGCGAAAAGGTTAAAAAGGCAAAGAGGAGAACACCTTTTAGATGAACCAAGCATGCATCCGTGATAGCATTGAACCCCAAGCTCAATAACTTTAAGTTTACAAGTCCTGAAGACCATAAATCATTTAGCAAACACCAATCATGGAGGTAAAAAAAAAGTGAGCATATACTGAACACCGTGCATGCCCTGATCCAAAGAACCAGGGCCAGTGCAGTACTTCTAGTGTCATTTACCAGAAAATTTATCACAGCCATCATCAAAGAGATCACATCTGTTAAGATTTAAGTATGCCAGGGCAACAATAGCTGCACCAAAACCAACAAGTTTTAAAGTTAATATGGAAACATATAAGTTAACTTAATAAATCTGGAAATGAAAACATAGTAAAACCTTTAGTTTGAGAAGTTTATTTATTATTTTTTATAAGAAACTGAGAAATTTTATAAAATAAATCAAAGAATACAAAACCAGAAAAGATGGATGAGAAATCCATCAGGCAACGGGAAAATAAAGAAAACAAAGAAAAAACTTCAACTACAAGCTACATAGTCACCAGGCAAACAAAAAACCTACACTAAAGCATGTCATTCACATTAGATGATTTATACCACCATCGATGCAACTTGCAATGAGCTTCTTGAATATGTTAAACTGAGCACAAAGAAAACTAATGCAAGAACATTTTCAAAATAATAATAATAATAAATAAATAATAAGACATAATCTTTTTCTTATATTATTTCTTGCACAGGAATCTGGTCTACATATCATAGACCATCAACTAACCCACACACATCCACGTTAGGTTTCTTAATTTATAGGTGGAAAACCAGAATCCTTGGAAATGTCAAGAAACTAGAGAGAGTGATGAGGAACAAAGATATAGATATTAGGAATTTAAAATTGGTATCATTTGGAATTATTTGAGTTTATTTTATTACTAGCTGAAGCCACGTGCTATACACGGGGTAATTTTGTAAGTTTCATCCTTGTATTCAGTTTTGATTATTGTGTTATTACTTTTGTTTTTTTAATAACAAAAATCTTAGTTAGTTGGTAGTTAATACACAACTAATACAAAAATGAAAAATAAAATAAAAAATAAAAAAAATTATTTCACCAGGATGACATTTGGAAGAAGGAAATAAATAAGAATGTATACTAGAGAAAAATGATAAGATTAAATAAGAGAGGAAAAAACAAAAATAAGGGACTAAAGTAGCAAATAAAAAAGGGAAAGGAGGACCCAAGAAACAAAAGGAAGAAAAGCAAAAAAAAAAAGAAAAGAAAAGAAAAGAAAAACATAAAAAAGAAACATAAAGAAACAAGAATGTACAGTGGTAAAAAAAATGATAAGATAAAATAAGAGAGAGGAAAAAACAAAAATAAGGGACTAAGAAAAAGCAAATTAAAAAGGGACGGAGGACCCAAGAAAACAAAATTAAGGAACGCAAAAGGGAAAAAAAAACCGTAAAAAAAAGTAGGTATATAGTGGTGAAAAAATGATAAGATTAAATAAAGAATGAGAGGAAAAAAATGAGAGGCTAAAAGAAGCAAATAAAAAGGGAAGGAAGACCAAAAAAAACAAAAGGAAGAAAAGCAAAAAAAACAACAAAAAACAAAAAACAAAAAAAAATGAGGGACTAAAATGATAATAAGATTAAATAAGGGTGAGAGGAAAAGCAAAAATTAGAGACTAAATAAGCAAATAAGAAAGGAAGGGGACCCAAAAACAAATAAAAGCAAGAAAAGCAAGAAAAGCAAAAGAAGCAAAAAAAGAAAAGGAAAAAAAAAGGACCTGGTATATGTGTTTGTCACAGTAGACCTTGAAGATTATTATAAATATACAGATTTCCACTTTATATCAGAAAGCAAACCTGAAATGGACTCCAGACAGGCAGCAGTTACGTTGCATCCCTCCAAGTTTAACATATTTAGCTTGCGCAAGCCTGCCAAGCATGATGAAAATGAAGATATAATGATTGCAGTCTAATGGACAGAGAACTAAAGGACACACATAATAAGCAAATAACCAATTATCCATAACTCATAGAAGAGTGTTAATCCAATTATTGACAAAAGCTAGAGTGGATAACTCCCTTACTAGTAACAATATTCTTAATTACAAAGACTCGCTTTTTCAAATTTTTAACAACTTCAATTTAGTCTTTGTTGGTTGTTTATGTTGTTAGTTCAGAGTATGAGAAGGCAACGACTGATTGATAGCTATAGTTTGAATTTCCCTATGGGATACACAGTAGGCTTGTGCGTCCCTTTTGTATAGTGAAAGCAATATATGATGATATTGAAGATCACTGCCTGGGGTTTATAATACGATCTCTTGAAATCATCACTCTTTTGCCAACCTGTTCAAGAAAAAGTAGGAATCTAAAAATCTTTCAGGGCTTGTTTCCTTGCTATTTCTCGTACTTTTTCTGAGAATGACTGTAAACCTTTCCATCTTTTTTCAGCAACATTAATAGCAATGAGAAAACTAACTACCTTTTAAGTAAGAAACTCCAACATCGGTGATATTACCGTTGGAAATTTGTAGCTCATTGAGATTTGTAAGCCCTGAAACATGAGAAGAATAATAAACAAGAAATATCATGGAAGTGCTGTTAAGTCTTAAAAATACCACTTTTTCCATATAGTTTGATTAAATCGTTGTTAAAACTAACATTCATCATTTCATTTTCAACAATTACCTGAGAGAGCTTTCAAGTCTGAATCTACAACGCATTTACAACATCTGATGTTAAGAGAACTGAGTTTCATTAACCCTGTAGAATATTTGAAGAAAGCAATTATAATGATTTTAAACAGATTGAAAGAGGGTTGAAAAAGATGATAGCATGTTAGTCTAAAGGAAAGAAAGTTCAATGATTAGATTTCAATTGGCTTTCATTAGCTTAAACTAAATGCTAAAATGAATGTAACTTTGATGGAGGCAGAATTCAAAGTCCTTTTTCCTTAGAAGCAATCTTTTACAACCTCCAATGATTGAAAAAACGACAGCGGTCTACCATAGTCCACAATTTCCTTATATGATGGGTGAAACATGTAAAGCTTTAACCATTTTATGAGCAACGGGAGAGAAAAATTGACATGGATAACATACGGACCAAAGCTTAACTAGCATTTTTAATCAGCCAAAAGATCCGCCTTAATGAACAGCTGTAATAACCAAGATCAACAAATTATACAGTTTAAGACTAAGGATCCAAAATTAGTTATGTCAATTAAAGAAGCATTGAGGGCAAACCTTTAATATGAATAAATCCACCATGAATCCCTGTACACCTCTCCAAATCCAACTTTTCCAAGTTAACTAAGCTCGAAAAGGCACGCATTCCTTCAGAAGTTACTGCACTGCTCCGTTTAAGACTCAAAGAGGTCAAATTTGAGAGACCTAAAGAACAAAAGTTATCATATGCATCCATTCGGAATCATTCAATTGATTCTTCACCAATGATAAGTGATAACTACCTTCCAATATAGGATGTACAAGGTAGACATGCAGGTTAGAAAATGCAATTTTAAAAGTGTATTAGACAGGAATAGAACGACAAAATGACAGTATTACCACCAATGTGTTTAAGCCCATGTTCTGAAAATTGATCACAAAAATTCAAAGCTAACTCTTGGAGGTTGGTGCAGTCTTTCAGACAAGCCAAGCCAGTATCGGTAACATTTGAAGAAGAGAGATCGACAGAAAGTAAAGATGATCCTTGTGAGGAGATAGCATCCATCCAGCTATCCTTCACACAAGGATATTCAACCAAACAAACATCCTGCCAATACAAAAGAAAAAACATACCCAATGATGTCCCTCCATAATAAGAATAATGGTTAACAAAAAAGTAATCAACTTGTCAAACTAAACTTTCCCACAAAACATCACCTGGAGAGCACAGTCTCTGAAAGCTTCAAAAGAAACATCGGTAAGACAGTTGGAATATACCAATTCATTGAATATTTGTTGGCTTACATCCCTTGGAAGCATTGAAAATGAACTATATCTCCCAATATCCTGCCACAATGATTCAAACGTAAGACCAAGCAAACAAAATACAACACAGATAGATGCAACACTAAAAGCAACTACCTTACAAACGCTCTGTATGCACAAATCCAAAAGAGATGGGCAATTGCCTCCTCCTGACTGACAATCAATAGCAGGTCGACACGAGGCTCCCAGCCATTTTGAACTGCCACTTTTGCAATATCTTGCCGAGGTCTCCCGAGGTACAGCATCTTCCATGACCTGTTGGTCTCTCTTCCGTGAACAAATTCCCCCCATCAAGCACCGATATAGTAGATTTTTGGTCTACCTCATAAAAGTGCAGATCAACAATATCACGGCCACCTAAGACCTCTTGGTCTAGTGGCACTGGGGGTTTTGGATTGGGTGGAGTTTGGGTAGGGGGTTGTGGGTTCAATCCCGTGTTGTATCAAAAAACAATATCACGGCCAATGCCCGGACAAAAAGTAGCCCATGTACACTCTCTTCACCCTGATTGGAAAAAGCAAAGAGACTAAGATACCTAGAATTGCCCCAAGCTCAACAAATTCCTCAAGGCAAACACATACTCAAAATCCGTAGAAACAATAAGAGATGTCTGGAATTAGTAGGAAAAATACAGAAAAACTTCTATAGCAGCACAGAGCAAACTCTGAAGAACAACCAATGACAAGTACAGAAAACTCCAGAAAATGCTCCCAAAAAAAATCCAAAACAAAACAATCATTTCGGAGACGTTTGTTTCCTATATTCGTTCATGATTCATGGTTTTTTATAGTATTTTTCTCTCACAAAAAACACACGTAAATGAATCATGATTCTGAATACATAAACCAAAACCTCCTCTTCATTTCACACTGAAATTACATACTGGCGCCATTTACTTATATTTTTAATGATCATCATTGCACACAAACCGGTAAGCATAAATTTAAATTAATTAGAAAAAAAAGTCCAATTAATTCGCTGAAAAAGACTTCGTAACTGTACATCCCAAATCTAAACAAGACTCTCGTTTGATAAAATAAAGTCTACGTTCATTAAAACCTTTCATAAACATTAGTATATCATTATATGAAATTATGTAAAACTAAAGCTATTTTCCTTCATATTAAATTAGGTATACAAGCTTACAAGCAAACAAATCAAAAACAAAAACAAATGAAAGTGATCGCGCGGCTTTGCACAAGAATCTCTTCTGACAAACAAACACTGAAGAAAAGGAAACATCGAATTCACAACAAATGGAAAATAGACCCCCAAAAAAAAGTTGAAGAAAAGAAGAAAGTGAAGTGTTTGCTAAGAAATACACAATTTATTGGCTTCGAATTATCGATTATTTTCACAAAAAAATGAAATAAAATAAAAATTCATTCTGTACTCTTCTTTTTTTTTCTCAATCAGTTTTTTTCCCTCTAAATAAGAGAAACAGGGAGATTTTAAAAGAGGTTTTATCACACAGAAATTTAGAACACTCGACATAAAAGAAAGACATGATAATAACAACAACAAAGAAGAGCTCTCACCCTTCATCTCTTTGGTATCCCAAAAGCGAGAGAGAAATGAGAAGAAATTTGTTGGAAAATGAGAAAGCGAAAAAAGCTTTCAGGCGAAGAGAGAGAGAGAGAGAGTGAGTAATAAGAACCGAAGGGGAAAGAGAGGAGAGGCTTAGGAGTGACAGAATTAACTTGATGATAACACGTGGCAGTTGTACGGGTGAACGTCAATAGGCCGTGATTTGACAACTAATTGATTAAGAGGACGTTTGATTGGAGGATTTAAACCATGTGATTCGAATCATTTTCAATTTACGTAAATTTTTTGTGAGAGAAAATACTGTAACGAACCATAAATCATTATTCAAATCAGGGAATGAATCCATCTACCAAACATCCTCTACGTTTAAGGTTTGTTTGGTTTGAGGATTCAAACTATGTGATTCGAACCATTTTTTATTTACGTGTATTTTTTATGAGAGAAAATACTGTAGCGAACCACAAATCATGATTCGAATCAGGGAACGAATCCCTCTACCAAACGCCCCCTTAGTTTAATTTATGAATTAGAATCATGTGATTAGAATTATTTTTTATTTACATATATTTTTTTACGAAACAAAACATTATAACGAACTATAAATCATAATTCAAATTATAGTTTGAATCCTCCAACTAAACATCCCCTAATACTCATATTTTCTCGCTGTAGACCCCACTTTGCTGGCCCATGTGCGAAAAATTAATAAGATGTTTGTTTTAAGGGTTCGTTTTTTATATTCTCATCATAATTATTAATTTTTTATAATATTTTTTTCTCATAAATAATTTAAATTTTAAAAATTAGAATCATGAATTATGATTCTAAATTCATGAACCAAACTTTTATTAGGAGACGTTTAGTTCATAGATTAGAATCATGAGATTATAACTATTTTCAATTTACGTATATTTTTTATAAAAAAAATACTGTAACAAATTATAAACTATAATTCGAATCAGAGTACAAATTCCATTATCAAACACACCCTTATTATTTGTTTGCGTAACGCTTTGCCGCAATAAACAACATCTTGGCTGATGTTATAAAATTGGAGAATATCTCCCATATTAGTACATATACTATAGGAAAGCTACGGGTCACTGCTCACTCAACTTACTGTGCATAGTACAGTGGTGTGACGGTTTTGCTCTTCTTTTTGCCCTTATTCTGTTTGTGGGCAGTGGGGCTTTTGGTCTTTTTGTGTCTCGGGATGTGGTTGGACGATTTTGTCCCTATCCCCTTAGTTTTCTCTTTCTTTGTGCCGTGGGCTTTCCCGTCCTTTTGTCTGTGTGGAGCCCTAATGCTCATTTCTTCCTTTGCCTTTCTGCTCTCTGCTGCTATGGCCCCGTTTTTTTTATTTTTTGGTTCTTCTCTTCTTGTGATCCTTCTCACTTGCTCTGTTTTGCTCGGAATCTTACTTCTGATCCTTTGTGGTTTCGGTGTGTTGGTTCTGTTGGTGGTTGGGTGGAAATTTGAGGGTTTTGTCCCTCTTCCTTTCTAGATTCTTCTGTTGTTCCCGTTCGCAGTTCACGCTTTATTTCCGCTCTGTTCTTCGTCTACGCCTCTTTGATTTTTGCTTCTTGCTTCTTTGTTCGTTTGCTTCGCGTTCTCCGTTTTGGTTCCTACTTATATTTAGCGGTTTATGTGTTTTGTTCTTAATTTGTTCCGGTTATTTTTATTTATGTATTTTTTCGTTGGGTTTTTTCTTTGGCCGCTTCATCTACTAGATTTTTTGTTTACAGTTGTTTTTAATTTTTCCTCGGGTTTTTTCCTTTAATGCTTTCTTTGCTGTAGCATTTTGTTTTTTAATGCTTGCTGCTATGTTCAAATTTTTGGCGGGTTCCTTATCGTCTCCTTTGATGAATTTATTTCTGCAGGCACTCTATCTGCGCCGATGGATTTTCTCTTGGTTGATTTAATGTCGTGTATGGGTAATTTTTGGTTTTTTTTCCTTCATTTATTGCATTGATGAGCTGGTCTGTCTATAGTTGTCCTTTGCTTTTTTAGGTTGATGATTTGTTCTGCTTTTGTTACGGACTTATTAAATGAATCAGTGATTTTTTTATGTCTATTTTCTGGAATCTCACTCATTCTTATCCTGCATTATCAAGAATCCCCGGCAATTTAGGGGAAAAAAATATTTTCCTATTTTTCTTGCCTCTGTTTTTTCTATTTCTGAGGATATTATTTTAAAATTGTTCCTAGGGCTTAGTAATTAAAAAATTTTGGTATTTTAATTTTTCTAAGCTGAATATGCATTATTACGTGTCATATTACTAGAGGTTACTTACTATTCATGTCGACTTTTCCATTTATTATTTATCAATGTTGCTGCTTGGACAGATTTGTTATATATGTTCCAGCCTTCTTTTTCTCTGCATCTTATTTTTCTCGTTCCGTTCTATTCTTCACCATCTAATGTTTCACTCTGTTCCTCTTCATTTACTGCTTTGCTTCTCTATTTATGCGCCTTTGACTGCTTCTATTTGTTGTTATTTTACCCGTGATCCTTGACTGCTTCATCTTATCCTTCAGTATTTACTACTTTGTTTGCTTATCCTTCTACCTTTGATTGTCGATGTTCATTTCTGGTTGGTCCATAACTTACACCTAGAGCAGTGTTCGCAACGTTCCAGGTATTATTAATAGTTTTTACTTACTTTTTCCTAATGTTATTAATGCATGTTGTTTTTTTGCTTTAGCCTTTTTGTTGATCTATGACTTAGTATTTTATTATTTTCTAATGGCATTAACGTGTTTACTTGCACTTTATTCGTTGCTTAGATATATGTAAGCCTCGTTCACTTCGCGGATTCAAATTTTTAATTCGAGTTGAGATGTGACATTTTTTGATAGCTTTTCACTGTAACAAAAAAAAAATAAAATTAAATGTGACATTTTCTAAGAATTTTTTACTGTAGAAACTTAAAACTGAAAACTCGAATCGATGAAATGAATGAGACCGTAATAATTTAAAATGTTTTAGCTTTAGTCTCCATTTTTTTCCTCTCCCTTTTTTTTCTCTCCGCCCGTTTCCTATTCCCACTTTTTCTTTTTTTTTCTTTTTTTTCTTGCCCCCTCATAACGATGATGAGCAAGAATAATCTTGTTATGTTGAGTTTGATATGATTTGTTCAAAAATTATTGTGGATGTATCATTTTCATTTTGTGTTGTTTTTCTTTTTTTATTCTGTCTCATTCAAAATTTTTGATTGTTCTCCATTTTTTATTTTTTGTTATTCTCATCTTTGTATTTTGTTGGGATAACTCTTTAATTCAAGACTTATTTGTGTGTGTATTAGTTTCCTTCTTACAGTATTAAATGTTGTTTTTTCTCTATTTTCTTTGCCTATGATATTTTCTCATAATTGTTTGTTATTATAAATCCCTGCTATTTTTACTCTCACAATTTAAATTGAGATTTATTTATTCATATAATATGTTATTTTGTCTCCTTCTGATATTTGTTTTGCCTTTTAACTCTGAGTTATGTAGTTTGAATTATCTATTGCCGAGGCAGGTACCTCTCATTGTGCATGATGCACTTCTCAATATATTTACGTTTACTGTTTTTTATTTGCTTTTCACTTCTTTCTCCGTTTCTTTTTTACTGTTCACTTCTTTCTCCGTTTCTTTTTCTATTTCTTTCTCTCTTCTTTTCCTTTTTTTCTTTTTTTTTCCCTCTACTACCCTATTGCTTATGTTTTTCCTCTCTTCTATTTCGTTTATCTTTTACTTGGTTTTTGTTTTCTCTCTACTTCATATAAGCAAGAGGATACCTATTTTTTTAATACCTAACAGTTAAAGCAACATTTGGAATGGTTCGGGTACTTTGAATACTTTCTGCTTACTTTCCTCCAATGTCATTAATATTTGCTCTTTCTCCGTTTCTTTTACTATTTCTTTCTCTCTTCTTTTCCTTTTTTTTCTTTTTTTTTTTCCCTCTACTACCCTATTCCTTCTGTTTTTCCTCTCTTCTATTTCGTTTTGACCTATATCTTTTACCTGGTTTTTGTTTTCTCTCTACTTCGTATAAGCAAGATGATACATATTTTTTTAATACCTAACAATTAAAGCAACATTTGGAATGGTTCGGGTACTATTAATACTTTCTGCTTACTTTCCTCCAATGTCATTAATATTTGCTCTTTTTGTTTCCCT